AGTCTGGAGAAGAAGATTTTTGAAATATTGGATAATTTTCCCTTTGGGGCCCCGCCCTGGCCCCAGGGGTGGGGGTAGGAATCCCAATTTTACAATTTTGAAGCCTCATCTACCAAGGATGATTCTGACCAAGTTTGAAAAAAATCCATCCACTGGTTCTTGAGAAGAAGTTGAAAATGTAAAAGTTTACGCACGACGCACGACGGACGACGACGGACGAAAAGCAATTGGAATAGGTCACTTGAGCAAAGCTCAGGTGACCTAAAAATGAATTTGTGTTACAAGGTGTATAAAAATACAATATAAAATTTTCATTCTGATGAAGGAAATCATATATACCAATAGCTTTAATTTAATCTGAATGAACAAAATAGGGTTATTAAATATGGAAACCAATACCGACTCTATCTGGTTACGTGTCACGTATTTAAATCAAGCGGGACCTCCAGACATTGTCCTGTGTATTTTAGGAATCTTCACTTCTTATAGTTCGGCAAAACAAGTGACATAAAAAAATAATTGTAATGTAACAGAAAGAATGTAAAATAAATGGTCAAGTCCTTTTTTGTTTAAAAGCCTCTATAAGAACAAGTGGGCAGTTAGTTGATGTGCTGTGCTGGAAAAAAAAGACAGCTGAAACTGAACTGAAACTTGTATATTTGAGTGCATACACTTCACTGGTCATTTGTCTGATGAAGGTGACAATGCACACATTGTACCAGACATTGTAACGTTACATAGAAAATCATCTTAGTTGTGTAAAACAAACTTGTCATAATTGTATGTTTGAGATTTTAATTTTTTAATTTGAGACATGGGGGGAAAAGTGTAAATCTCATTCATGAAATGGTACCACATTTAGGTGTAATAAAATAGTAGGAAGAAATTAAATACCGTGATGTAGTAAAAGCTCCTGTAACAGCTGACTGTACATGTGTGTATCACACATATCAAACAGATCTCCAGGAAGACAAAAATCACATAGTAAACTATGATTCCTGCTTCATCTATACATAAACAGCAAACCAAACCGTCAAAAATAAATATTCAACTACTTATTTCACATGAAACTACGTTCGATAACAAAAAACACATAAAACTATATACATATATGATGATAACACATATAATAGAAGATTTTCTGCATTGCATTGTGAATAGGCATCATTACCCTACAAACCCTGTCTTATTTACAGACACTTGGATAACTTTGCACTGAACATCGGGAACAACTGGCATAAAAAACAATTCTAGACACTTACATCAGGGGCAGATAATCCTATGATCAAATTCAGCACAACTACAAATTGAGATCAAGGGAGATAATCCAATGATCAGACAGTCGTCAGAACAACTTATTTATCACAGACTGACATCAGGGGAGATAATCCATTGATCAGTCGTCAGTACAACTATAATATGTCTTTCATTCTAGAGACTGACATAAGGGGCAATTATCCACTGAAGAGTCATCAGAACAACTTATTTATCTTACAATCTAAAGAATGACATAAGGGGAGATAATCCAATGATCTGTTGCCAGTACAACTTATTTTCGGTGCAGTCTAACATTAACATCTGCGGAAGAAAATCAAATGATCAACTGTGAACACAACTTATTAACCTTACAATTGAGAGATTAACATCTGAGGAGACAACCCAACAAATATGCCATAAAAATGTATTTGCAGTGTACTTTACACTCTAGAGAATACCATAATTCTGGGATAATTGCTCGTGCATTTCATACACCATACAGTCTAAAGATAGACAGCTTCAATAGATGATGTAATGATTATTCGTCTGTCAAAAAAGATTCCAAATGAGAAGAAAATGAAACCAAAATAAGGAAACCTATGAATTTTCAATTGTGCATAATGGAAAATGGAATGTATTTCTATTTAAACCAATTTGTCACCTTGAAAATGTGAAATCTGCTTCAGAAGATGATTTACACATTTATCTATTACCTATAAGATTTTTGAAAGAAGAAAGTGGGGTGGAATGGGGAGGGGAGCTGGTATCTTTGTTGCTGTTACTGTTAGAGGAGCACAATCTCAATTCATAATGGGTTCATTAAAAAATAGTAAGAGTAAGAAATCTATAATCCTCCATTTGAATATTTAACGAGTGAAACTTAACTACTTGAATGATTATTATTAGATCCATCCCTCTTATATCAGGGGGTCTTTACCTGGGACACAGAATCCTACATTCACCACAAAAACTGTTCTTACTTGTCTTTCACAATAAGGCAAATATTTCCTGTCCCCATAAAAGCAGGTTTTATGATGTCTTTTTGTCTGCCTCATTGACGTTTGACTTATTTCTTATCTGGTGAAAGCCATTATCACCAGCAGCAACTGACAATATCTTTTTCTTTTCCCCGCAGGTAAACCATCATCACTGTCTGGCATATATTGATCACTCAATGATAATATTCTTTTCTAGCAGTGAAGGCCGTCATCATTGTCAAGTACGTTGATACGTAATCCCGGTTCTGTTTTCGTTGAAGACTTGTCAATCATTGTCAATAAAAGTAATGATAAACTTGTTTCTTTTCTCTTATGAAGGCCTTCACCATCGTTACTGACATTTATGGTATTCTTGTTTCATTTCTCTTGGGAGGGCTGTAATCTAAGTCAGGCATCCTTTTGATGTTGAATATGTTTTTTTCTCTCATTTAGCCTTTTCACCCCTAGGTAACTTTAGTAAACTCTACCATGCATTGATCTGGATGAGTCCATTATGGTACACAGTGGTGAAAGGGTTAACCTTTCCCCTTTTTCGTGTTCAGTGTCCATGAAAATTTACATCAGATTCCATTTCAGTCTCTTCCCATACCCTGACAACACCAATGTCACTCTGACAACACCAATGTCGTCCTGACAACACCAATGTCGTCCTGACAACACCAATGTCACCCTGACAACACCAATGTCACCCTGACAACACCAATGTCATCCTGACAACACCAATGTCCATTGCAACTAAGCCCAGCTGTCTTCCTTCACCATTATTAGATCCTGGCAGGACAACAGCTGTGAACCCAAAGTGACCTATACTAGAGGTCAAGGTCATGTCCAGGTGAGGTCATAATGGGACCAGTCAGATTTGGGAGCTAAGAAGATCCTTTGTCCACTGAAGGTGAAGCTAGTCACCCCTCTGTATGCCACACGGGGTACACCCGCCTGTAATATACAACAAGAAATATCTTTAAGAGAGATGAAAGGCATACAGTGGCCACATACTTCTGAAATAGCTAAGTACAAATTATGATATTGCTTTTAAGTTATATATACTTTACATCGGTAAACTTCACCCAGTCAAATTTTAGCTCTTCACTTGTTAAATAGTTTTCACAAAGTGTAATTTTCGCCCTTCACATGTCAGTACTAGGTATAGTATGTTGTGTGTTAAATTTCCCTTCATTACGGAAGGTGAAAAAGTGAAATTGTGGCAAAAGTTTCCCGGTACACGGTAATTCGTGTTTATAATAAAGGAATAAATTCAGCTGAACAACAGAGCTTATTGTTCAATGGAAAGTAACTCAAAAGTTACTTGCGATAACATTTCATAATCAAATTGATATGTTTGTGGCATTTACAGAAGTACAAGAATGTCTAAGTTATCATTATCTGTAAGAAGGCAGAGTATTGCAGGGCAATCCATAGTCCCCACCGGTAATGAGTTCTATATTTAACAAACAGTAAAATTATGTCAGGAAGCATACGTCACAATGAGGATATAGTGACCTTCTTCTTGCACTCTGCCATCCCAAGATGTCCTTGTACACTAAATCTGGTTACTCCAGGTGAAATAGTCACCCTCACCTGGGAACCAGAGGGGGACTAACAATTTAGTCACAACACAGAGTATGAAATAACTTTCTTTCATTTCATACCAACTTTTCTACCTGATCATAGTTGATCTCTGTACACATAAAGTAGAGATTCAAAACATCTGACTGACCTTGAAGTCGTCCATGATGCCGAGCCTCTTGGCTATCGACTTGTACTGATCCTTTGTGATGTAAGTAACACGCAGTGCTTTAAGGTGTTTCTTACTGCCAGACATCACCTCGGCAACCGTCACCTCCGGCGTGTTATATACCTGACGGGTGAACCAGGGGTCATATTTCTCCTATAATAAAAACAACAACAGAGGTCATAGTTCACCAAAGGTCAGAGTTCTGGAATACAAAAACAGAGGTCACTTTTCACCAAAGGTCATAATTCTCCAGTTATACATAAACATAAAGGTCATAGTTCATCAAAGGTCATAGTTCTCCTGTGATACATAGAGGTCACAGATCACCAAAGGTCACAGTTTTCTGTAATATAAATGGAACAAGAGGGCGTAGTTCACCAGCTGATGAAGGGTTGTAGATCATCATTTACATGGCAAAGAAGAGAAAGCAACCCAGGCCTCCACCTTGGTTTTAAGAACGAACAAAACAGTCTAAACTCTGGGCACATGTGATGGGCAATCAGCTTAAAATCATGATAGATAATCAGAATGTAATTAAAAGTAATAATTAGTAAACCGATTGATGATTGATTGGATAATTAGTTGATTTTTTTTCTGACAGATTACCAAAATAATGTAAAAACACCATTTTTACATCAATAGACAGAGTTCTTAACTCAACAAAGTGTCATCAGATTTTGTTGTATTACCCCGTATAATGAATTGATTGCAATCAACTTTTTGTAGTTTTGATTTTTTTTTACATTTTCATACAGTAAAAATCACAAGAATATATATAACTTTCAATGCATACTTTATATTGTAAACATCTAACACTCACGTTCAGTAATAAAGATTATGGAATTTATCAGTGATAATTGAAATGGGAAAGGGCACACCAATCAAATTTGTTTTTATCATAATCAGTCATAAGCCCATCACTAGCGGACATAAGACCAAATTTGAGTACATGACACACTGACAACCCAACAGTCTCTCGCACACCGGATGTGGTTTTTTAAAGATATGACCTGGAACACGAGAAATTTTATTTTGACATCCATAGTGTACAAACTTAAACGAATAGTTATGAGGCCTAAATCTAATACTCTAGAGTAAGGTATATGAATTGTACTGATAACTTTTGTAGAGTTCTCTCCCCCTGATGGTACTCTCTAGACTGTAAAGTACACTGTAAATAAGAGAATTGGACCTACCTTTTTTAAGTATGATAGGTCTTTCTTGGTGAATGGCACAAATTTATCGTTCAACTTGATGTATTTTAAATGCTTCTCGAAAAACAATCCCCTGTGAAGACAAAACAGATTGATATACAGTATAAATATATATTGACATACAGTATATATAAATATTGACATACAGTATATATATATTGACATACAGTATATATACATATTGACACATTTGAAAAATTACAACTCTGACAACTTTTTTGCCTAGGTTATACTTATATCTTGACAAACTATAGTTCCAAAAGGCCTGTAACACTCAACTGTTAATAAATGGTGTTGGCCAAGTTTATTTAATACCGATATGCTCAAGAAGTTTTAAAAACATCAACATCTGTGACCTTAAATATTTGTCAAGATCATTTATTTGGATATTTTTGATGGCCAAGTAGTCAAATGATTTCAGGCTTAACCCTTTCACCCCTAGGTAACTTTAATAGACTCTACCATACATTGATCTGGAGGAATCCATTATGGTCTACAGTGGTGAAAGGCTTATCAGTCCTTAAAAAATCTTTTGAACATTTAAGATTCCAATAATAAAGCGTATAGACCAAAATAATTTGTGAGAAGAATTTGGTTAAAGTTTTTGACATTTGAACTATGTCATGGTCAATAACAAATAGCCCTTTGCCCCATTTTTAAGCAAATGACCTATTTTTATGACTTCATTCTTATGCATAATTAATGACATGCATGACCTATATTTTGAACTCAGTAATGATATGCGTGACCTACTTGCTGACCCCCTTCTGGCCGAATGTACTTGTTCTACAGATCTCCGGTCGTATACAAACTCGCTCCTTCCTCTGGTCCTGGTGGCGCATCCAGTCGTCCCAAAACCTGTAACGAGTATTAGCATTGTTTATATCTGTTGGTCCATAAATCTGTCATAATTATTTCATTATTGTCAAAATAAGATTATTTGATTGTATTTACTGGTATTATCTTTTTCTAACACCTGCTTTGGATTTCCACAATGTAAACAATGTAAATCCTGTTCACAGTAATAAGACGCCTCCAATGCTGTGATTATAATGTTGTTATTTTATTGACTGATGTGCCAGATGGCAGCTGTTTCAATTCTACAAAAAACCATTACATTGGGGGACCATTACAGGTTTCCTTACAAATGTAAATTATGGTTACGACGTGCTGCATGTTGCTGGTAAGCAAGTATACTTACGTAACCGGCCACTTCGGTCCAATCTCCAGCCAGAGCTTCCTCTCCATCATCCAGCCAAGTCCGGGGAAGAAGTCGGCCCGGTACAGCAGTTCTGTCAATACAAACATTGAACTTTGGGCTTCTATGTAGGTTGAATGAGATCCCTATGCCTAACTCTTCCACATATAAAACAACTTTTTTATACAACTTACTGGTAAGTCTTCAATATACTTTTTTTTTTTATAAAACTTGTACATTAACATACAAAAATAACCAAACTGCAGCTACATGGTTCGTCAGACACGTGGTCACATCATATTAATTCATTTTATCTCGACTATTCACCGTTGTTTAGGTCACACTCACAAAATTTTCATGTATCTTAACTTACTTGTAGTCGTTAATTTACTCTCAATTTACTCCCATCTTTGATAACCTTGACCTTCATGGCCTGTCCTTGACCTTAACTTACCTGGTTCATCCGACACCATGCCACCTTTCCCATTGTCGTTCCATGCAGACACACACCACAGTGAAGGGTCAGAGGTCAGGATAGGATACGTTGCCGCAAAATACTCAAAGAAATCTGGGGAAACATCCAGATCATCTGCATGGAGAGAAAAGACACTGGTTATCTAAGGAAATAATGTCACAACTAAAAAGGGCAGCAATGGCCAAGTGGTTAAGGCATCTAACTATCCAAGATGAATAGCCCTCCACCTCTGGGTTACGGATTAGAAGCCTACGCGGGGTAGTCACCAGGTACTGGCCGTAGGTCAGTGGTTTTTTGCTGGTTACTCTGCCTATCCTCCACCACCAAATCCTGGCATGTCCCTAAAGGACCATAGCTGTTAATAGGATGTAAAACACAAACAAACCAAGCCAAGCTGAAATTGACACATGAGGGTGTTAGATTTCATTTTTCCCCCCCAATCAACAGAGGCAGCCTAACAGTTTGTCAGGCAAAGACTTCCCTGTCTCACCCCAGACGGATATAACCAGTACACATATAAAAACATTGCTAAACCAGGAGTTACACATGTGTGTACCACACCATAGTTTATAGGCCAAGTACGGGTTAAAAATTAACATCAGATGATTTTTTTTATTATCTATAAATGTATTTTTTCCATGTATGAGTAATAATTCTGATAGTACTTCCATTTTGTAATCATACACAATACAATTAGAATAATTTTAATAGAATATGTCATTAGTTTCCATAGCACATATGTGTCAGTTCTTTTTTTAAATATATAAATAAAGGGAGGGTGGGGTGGGAAGGACACAGGATCATTTCCTAACCTTGAAGGTGGGAAAGAGAAATCTTCACCCTAGGAGGAGATTCTTGAATGTCTAACCCTTAGCTGAATTTGAAACAGCCTCGGGTTTGATAGTATAGAATTTCCTCCACGGAGGACATCTCTTTGTCCTTTACTTCAACGTGAGAAAAACTCAAATAATCTCTTGATTACATCGATCCAGCAATTAACTCTCTTAGAGTTAGACTCACCTTCCACTATGATGACGGCCGAGTAGTTGAAGTGATGGAAGATCTGGTTGAGCGCCCACTTGTAATGACGGGCAATCTTGTAATAACCACTGAACTTCTTCTTCGGCCACGGCAGCTCTATGTTACTGAGGTCTGGTTGCTGTACAAGTAACAAGATCAAGTGCCGTTAATTGTTGCCAAGCTCACACATGCTGGCCATAGCAAAATTACACTATCCCAAAATCTACAGAATCTCAGGCTTACTTTTGAAACCAGTCTATCTTCTAGTTCGTCTTATCTTTGAAGCCATTTAGACTGTAACTTGAATTAAGACACGGAAAACTATTTTCAAGGTTGGCTTACATTCAAAGCCTTTTAAATGGTCCAGACCTTAATTGCATGCTGCTGAAACATTCAAAATCATTAACTGTAAAAATGTGTTTAATTTGTGCAAATACAATTTAATATATTAACATTTTTTTATTTATTTTTTACAAAAAGATTGCCATCTTGGAAAAGACAGAACTTTAAAGGCTTTAGAGACATATTTTACTGCATGGAATTCCAGGCTTATATTCAAAGCTGGCCAATTTTTTAAAAGAATTTATGGTATTGAAAAAAAAGGTTTTTTAAGTTGTTTCCGAAATAATTTTAACATAACTAGAACACTGACAGGTCAGTAAGGGCCCCGTCTTGTGGCAATATATATCCCCCATAATCATCAAGAAGCAATCTGCCCATATAGCTGAGCTTGACGTTTGACATTTGAACTTCCAAAAGAATCGCAAGGAAGCAAAATATACATTTTACATGTACTATGATGTGAGTCTTGTTTCCTTCCACCTCCATATTTGCTGGGCTAAAGAAATGTAAATACCGGTGCAATACTCATTTGTTAGCTTTGATTTGTTTTATTTCACCTTATATACCTCCTCCATCAAGAGCCAGGGTCAAAGTCAGAGATCCACTTTGTCTTTGACCTTTGGACCCAAATGACCTTAACCATTAAACCAATGACCCTGATCTTTGGTCAGTTGACTTATTCTTTAATTCTGACCAACTTTGCTTCTTAATATCATAACAAAATGTTCTTCAGTGAAAAATACAAAACTTGACCTTGACCCTTTGGACCGCGTAACCTGGCCCTAAGGTCAGTTGACTCTGTGTTAAGTTCTGAACAACATTGCTTCATAATGTCATAACAAAATGTTCATCAGGGAAAAGNCTCGACTTTTTACCTTAGTGTGTCTCTTTGTTTAATTCCGAACAACTTTGCTTCATAATGTCATAGCGAAATGTTCACCAGTGAAAAGCTACAAAATTTGACCTTGACCCCTGACCCGATGACCTTGACCTTTGGTCAGTTGACTCCTTGTTTAATCCTGATCAACTTTGCTTCATAACATCATAACAAAATGTTTATCAGTAAAAAGATGTAAAATTTGATCTTGACCTTTGAACCTAATGACCTTGACCTATGACCTTGACTTTTTACCTCACTGTGTATTTTTGTGAACTGAACATCTTGACCAAGTTTCATGTACATCGGTCAATAAATAATAAAGTTATCAGCCAGGAACAAAAGTTGTGGACAGACAGACAGACAGACAAGGTGATTACTATAGGGCACCCGTATCTCCGATACGGGGCCCTAATAAAGGTTACATATAAAGTAGATAATATACTTGTAAATATATTACTATGTACAAGGTGCAGAACAGTTAAGTACAAACATGGTAAAAATTGGAAAAATAACAAATGTTTTGCCAATATTTTTATTGTCATTATTTTACACCTAGACTTCAAACTGCTGCTGCACAAAAGATCTGTGGGGTGCATAATTATGAAGATGGAATCATTTTAAAAACTTGATTTAGGTAAGAACTTAAGTCAGTTTAGATGGAAAAAAAAGTTTTCAGGTGGGATGCTGACAACAATGCTGACTTTATAACGGGTACAGCATTAGCTCTTGCAACCAGTGTGATAAAAACAGACATACAAATTATTGCAGTTTGGATTCTTGTCCTCTAATCAAGTCCCCAAGTGATTGTAAGACAAATACACTGGGTAACCGTCAGATCTCTTAACAGGTGTTCTGGTTAAATGTCTTTGTTGCTTTATTATCCCTTTCACCACCGTAGACCATAATGGACTCATCCATATCAATGCATGGTAGAGTCTAGTCAGTCTACTGAAGATACACAGGGCTGACAAGTCCTTTCTACTAACCTTGATGTGTATGATGTTGTCGGAGGTGACATACTTCTGTATGACATCAGACGTTGCTGGGTGACCACAGTCCTGACTTACGATAATTGGGAAGCGCTCAGGTGACGTACGGTACCTGACAAGAAAACATCCACATAGACTACAAATTAGATCACAAAGTTCAAGTTAATAATGTTGTCAAACTATGCCATGCATTTCTAAAATCCCTCTATATGCATTTTTGTGTGTGAAATATTCAGGGCTCAAGTATAATATATAAGGTTAGACTCACATGAGCAAGGTCAAGCATTGAAAGGAAATCCTAGTCCCCTACCAGTAATGATTTCTTCATTTACCAAGGTCAAAGGTCAAATCATAGGTCACAGTGACCTACTTTTTGTACAGCACAACACCAGATGTACTAGCATACCAAATCTGGTTACTTCAGGTGAAATAGTATATGTGCCTTGTACAAACCTTTTCAAAGATTGAGGTCAAAAGTCCAACCACAGGTCACAGTGACCTTCTTTTTTCCTCCACACTCTACCATCCCAAGATGTACTTGTATAATATAAGATATGCGGCAATGCCCTGGACAAAATCTTCGGACGGATAGAGGACTGGTGCAAACCTATAGTCCCCCCCCCCCCCCCGGAACTGGTGGGCCACTAAAAACACTGCATGTCTATGGGAATCATTTATTTCAGAGGTCAAATTGTCTATGAAGACATACCTATAATGTGCATTATCCAATGATAAGTATTAAGTAGTGAGGGAAATTTGTTCTGTAAATACTTCCCTCCTTTATTATTACACATATTTTCTATAACGGTACGCTAAGCAGCACTAAATAGTAAATGATTATTAATTATAAGCATGATGCATCAATAGGCGAAACATTCCATAGTCAAGTGACAAAATAAAGTTTACGATTTCGACACATCATTTATTGTACAGGTTAACAATATACAATTGTTTCATTGGTACTGGGGGAACAGTCAAATTGTTGACCCGAGGTCGAAGGCCGAGGGCAACAGTTCCCTAGGTCTTCCCTGCTACCGAGGGTCAATGATTTGACTGTTCCCCGAGTACCAATGAAACAAATGATTTATTACCCGACTCTCTATTTAAAAAACAAAAACTTGTTCAGTTCTTCATTACTGCAGCTTTCGTCGATCATAACACCTTTCTCTGCACAATATTTATCCAAAATATTCACAGCTCCGTTAATGACGTTTTTTGTACTAAGATAGAACCTATTTTCCATAAGCAATTCCAAATCTTGCCCAGAAACATCCTCAAATCTGCAGTTATTCGCCATTTTCACCAGACGAAAACAAACAAATCTGTATTAAAAAGACGCTTGAGTTGCGCTGCCGACGGGGAAATTGTCTGCGTTGACTGTTGCACCCTGACATTATAATTATTTTACGGGTTTTCAGTCTTTTCCAGGTTTTCTTTATTAAAACAGTCAAAAATACTTCATATACACTTAAATAGAGGGTCAAGTAATAATACAAATTGTTCACTCAGACATAGCTTGACAAAGGGACCAGTCAGTCCTTAAACATTGTGACATATTTGATGCATACATTGTGTGTATAAAAAAAAAAATGGATACATTCATACAAATTTCCAAACTGAATCTTATTAAATATAAGCATAATTTTCACAGCCAATATCTGGTCTACAATGAACATTTCAGGAGGTCTATTAGAAATCAACATTACCTATTCTCTATGGTGTGTAATTTCTAAATTTGGTGCGGCCTTAGTGTCATTATAGGGAGTTAAACAAACAAGGTTTGATGTCGGACCTCGGTTGTTGGTAAGCTTGACTTACTCGAGGAGCTGATCCAGACTTCGACTGACAGATACACGGTCACATGCGATCATGAGTACAGGAAGGACGACAGAGTTCGCGTTCAGTGGTCCATCGTCTGTCCTCACAGGAGACTCGACAGGAACCTCTGGTTTGTGTTGTACTTCCCTTTCGACAGGTTCCACGTTCTGCTGTCGGGCTTGCCGGAGTGCTTCAGTTTTCTCTCGGGCTTGTCGCTCTACAACAGTTACACATAGGACAAATTAGGACAGTAAATTCTGGTTATTATCAGTTAACAGTCACTTCATTTAATATAAAGTTTTCTTGAAACTCTAGTTTTTCCTTCTATACCACCTCTAATATGAATTCTAGATCGTATGTATATTTATATATGGAATTACAGTGGCCTGTTTGTTCATGCGGAACAACCGGTACGTCAGTTTTTAAATTTAACATTTTTGGGTATAAATCCTGGCGGACCTGCACATTTTTATACAGACCTTGCAAGGCTTTTTCAAGGCTCGCCTGAAAGGAGCATCAGCTTACTAGGTCTGACTTTATTTCATAAACGAACAATTCTACGTATATGCGGAGAAGTAATAACAAAGGTGAAGACAACAAAATTTGTCAAATTGTCCACTCACAAACACAAAACAATATAAATCAAATACAAGACAAAGAACAATAATTATAAAATATTTGTAACTTTTTATGCTGATGTCAAAGCATATTATCCCATTGCTGAACTGGAATCTAATCACGAATGCCATTTATAATGAATAGTCCATCTTAAGATGGTTTACCAATAAATATTGATGTATGTGGATAAATTCACTAGTTTAACAACAATTGCTGTGTCTTTGATTGCAGTAAAATACAGTACTGTCTTAAACCACAAATATTTCATGAAATACCAAGCCCCATCTGCCTGCTCTCCTACCACCCCCCTCCCTCCCTCCCTCCCTAAGTCTGCAGTGCTCACCTGCATCCTTACCATCCCCAGTATACTGTACAATTTCTGCCCTCCCACAGCCTGTATTGCCCTTCCATAATTGAAATAGGAAGCCCCACCTGCATGCCCTCCACCCCAAACACTACTGGCAGTGCTCACCTGCATCCTTACTGTCCCCTGTATACTGTACAATGTCTGCCCTCCCACAGCCTGTATTACCCTTCCATAATTGAAATAGGACGCCCCACCTGCCTGCCCTCCACCCCAAACACTACTGGCAGTGCTCACCTGCGTCCTGTCGTAACTTACGTAGCTGCTCCAGTAGACCAGAGTTCTCATTGAGCTGGTGTTGGATGTCTGCCTCAAGCCATGTTAACTTCTCCCCAAATGAAATGGACTGCAACAAAATTCAATATTGAGAGTTTTGATGTACAGCCCCTTAAAGATATCTAATAACTCAAAATACTGAAAGTTATGAATCTGGACAAAGAAAATATGAAAACTTCCCAAATGGAAACAGTTAAAGAGTCATTACACCGAACTATTTGATTAATCGCAAATGAATCATACATATTGTGATGTCAAGTTTAATGTAGAATACAGAAACATATTAGGATCTCACTAATGACTCTGTTACATGAAGCTTTTAAACTAGGGAAAATGGGAGGAATTGACAGATTAATGCGTACCTTTCCTGGGTTTTTAGACACCAGAAGATAATACATCATTATATTCCAGCACAGGAAGATGGTCACCACGACAACCACCAGGTGTTTCCTCCGCATCGTCACAGCAACAACGATGAAAGCGAGGCTTCGGATAAAATGTTGATTTTCCTAAAAGATTTTTGTCGCTGCATTCATCCATGCAGGAAAATTCATAGAACATCACATTTAATGTAATCGTGGTTCAGTGACACACGATCCAGTTTATGAGTATCACTGCATAGTCTAGATCTTTCCTCGGATAAGTCTGTCTGTCTGGTGTTTCATATAGTTACGTCTGGTCATGTAAGTGTATGCAGATCTGAAAAATAAACAGATTGAACAGTTGAAGCAAAACATTTTCCTCTTGTTCTTGAATTTTAAAGGGGCAAATCGGGAAAAATCATACATTTTCTAAATCTTAAAGAAGTAACCTAATACACTCCTGAATATGCTAATTCAATCTACTGATATACTAAGCCAGATAAAGCCTAGCTATATATAGTGAATGAATGAGTTATCTATAACTTTAATACATATTATGTATTAACACATTATGTAATGAAGAATGACCTCCTCTGTTGATGCATCTGAGGTTGATCACACTAATATCCTTGGCGATGGCATGTAGCTTACAGGTGTGACAAACAGCCACAGTACTGTAATACTGAGGCCAATTGTTGTTTCCAATTTTTACTCCGATTTTTTTTTAGGACAGGAAGGTAACAGTCAAACTATTCTAAAAAATGGTTGAAGAGACAATGTTTTAAACTTTAACCGATTTTTTTTTTAACTTAGCTAAAAATATTAGGGTATAAAAGGCACTAATAACACATTACAAAGGTAGACTAGCATATGTGGAGGCTTATAGAGTTTACCACTGATAACTCCAAGGCTTATAGAGTTTACCACTGACAACTCCAAGGCTTATAGAGTTTACCACTGACAATGCCAAGGCTTATAGAGTTTACCACTGATAACTCCAAGGCTTAAAGAGTTTACCACTGATAACTCCAAGGCTTGTTGTTTATTTGGTTTATTTGGCTTATTACTGAGGAAGAAGACCTGCAGGGACACCAGAAAGCTTACAGGACAAGACGTCTGCTCTCTTGCAGGTGTGCAGTCGGAGTCACTGTGTTGACCAATTGTAGCCGGGGCAAAGCCCAAATTATGTGACAGTAGCAAGGTGACACGGGACAGAAACCTGTGCTACATGCGTTGCATGCACAACTATGCATGCAGGGACAAAGAGTGACGAAACACCTTGCTACACACACACATATATATATACAATACCAAGTTAGTACTTAGTTCAGGTAAAATATACAAACATGTGTAACTGTATGGAATGGATCATCATTGAAATCCATAAGTTACAATGTACATATCTTCTCCATACCCTTGGTATAAGTCACGACAAAATAAAAGTCTCTTAAACTCATTCACCGCTGAAACTTCATAATGAACTATTCCAAACTTTGAATTAGAAGAGTTCAAATGTGTCTTCAGGGGTGAATGAGTAAATCACACAACATCTTGCAGATGACACATGTAGACTATAGTCTGATATCTTTGATGGAGATCATCAATGGAAACGTACTCAGTAAAACTCAGACATGTTAGGAGGACCCCTGAAACAGTGACAAAAAAATCATCATCCTTGCTTTCAAAAGTATCACTGCTGCCCCTTGAAATATTTGGGAGAAGGTTTTTTCCTGCAGACTTTTTTATGTCACTAAGATATGCTGGAGCTTATTTGAGAGAGCATCACACCGGTCCTTCTTAAAAGCATCTTCAAACAACAGGCATTGAAAAATAAGGACCTCAGTAACAATCAATCTAAAATCTCACATTTATCAATCATGTGATGTGGCACAGCATTTACACGTATTTCAACATAATGCATGCGTAGCGGAACTTTATATTGGCACATGTAACTTTTTATCATATGAATACCGTGTTATGCAGTGTCATAAAGCCATCACATAAATCATGTTTATGTGACGTGTGTAATATAACACTCACAATCCAATAGGAACAATCAATGTGTCGTCACGTCATTGTGAAGCGGACACAATTGTGTGAAGAAAGAAAGTCACTTTTTTCTAGTCTGAGATTTGGAAAGAGGAATATGTAAGCTCGTTTCTATGCGTGGATTTTCTGACTGGGGAATAGATCTGTTTGATTTTACGACAGCAACTGAATATGATTGACAATGTTACAAAACATGGTTAGACAAGCATCTTTACATCTATCTGCTAGGGTGCACAGTTTTAAGTGGTCCAGCATTTTGGACATACTTGAAGTACGGCGACTGTTACCTGCAATAACGTAGCTAACAGACGATGAGACATTTTTTTTTATATATTGCATCGTCAGAGCCGGCCGGGTATTATAATTAGTACTTCGGCGACTGTACCTGTCAATGTGCTTATTTAGTACATACATTTAACACACAACCCAGCGTGGCACTATGTAGTATGTCAATTTTGTCAATATTCATTTGGATGTGAGGCTCCAATACTGTGCAGACACATTCTACTTTTCTAGTAATGGTCGTACGAGGGTTTTTATGCCTGCACTTTGGCTGATGTTGCATCAACGTTAAGATTTCGACTAAAAATCATATGGTCAAATTAGGCATTGAACAGATGTTTTTTTTTCATATGGCAGTCACATTTGAGGTTAACGTGAGGATCCTTCGTGAAGTGGCAGACAACTACGTCTGCACAATCAGTACATTTACGAGTCAAGTGTATTCGATCTCTGACATGACGCTATCAGCCGTCCCTCCTGTCCCGGTTAAAGAGCATGCCTGTACATCATATGTCGTGACAAAACACGACCTGTTGACATATCGATACCAAAGCACAATATTGCGATATCCCCGACAGATACATCTTATAAACTTGATAAAAAACTTAAATACACTGAAATTTGACGGGGTCATGGAGATACGTCTGTAAAGATTCCTTGTGATTTCTTACATCAACAAACAGGTCACGATGGTGATATATATCCGTCCAATTATTCTGCTTTCGGCACCGGTTTAGAAGTCGTCCACCATATAATTGTGATGCTGGCAAATCAAATCTCGTACATATCGCGAGATTTAATTGTGGTTCATAAATGCGGCCACGACATTTCAGGAGCGATTAAAAACGTAATGAAACGCGAAGTCGTATTTTAACTCTAATATTGTATATGACAAAACTTTTATTGCTTTTTTACAACAACAGCTTAAACAAAATTTCAGTTGTGAAGTTGTAATTTCCTGAATAAGAAATCTGCGCGTTTACAGTGAATTATCTCCCCTGGTCTTAACTATTGCATTTATAAAGAAAACAATCATTTTTGCAACTGAACACAAATCATTTTTCCAAACCAATAATTTTAAATTTGATATAAAACAAGTGGCCCAGAAGGCCTGTATCGCTCATCTGGATATTTGAGCAATCATGGGAAAATATTCTCAATAAAAGTACTTTTGCAAATATTTTCATATAAATATATTGAGTCTCCTTGGCTTTAGAATGTTCCAGACTAAATGAAACTTTTGAAACTTTATATTACTCTATCCCAGCATGCTACTAATCAAATAGCATCACAAATGGCCGCCTGGTATTGCGGAAAAAGTTGCTTAAAGATATTTACATCTTTGACCACTGTATGTCAAGGTACTGTAATCTATTTGGGGTAACTTTATAGCACTCTGTTGCAGGTACCTACTGGCCAAGTATTATTACTCTGGGCCTCCTGTTATTCTGAAGATATTTATATATATATATATATAGTTGACCCCCGAGAACTTGAAAGTAGTTCAAGGTCATTTATTTTAGGAAACTTTATAGCACTCTGTCCCAGGTATCTACTGGTCAAGTATCATTGCTCTAGGCCTCTTGGTTATTTAGAAGAAGTTGTTGAAAGGTTATAAACACATTTGACCCTTGTGATCTATAAAGTAGGTCAAGGTTATTTATTTGAGGAAATTTTACAGTACTTCAAACTTTTGGCCAAATATCCTTAATACAGACCTCCTGATTATTAAGAAGCTGTTAAAGATTTTACATAGTTTGTCCCTGTGACCTTGAAAGTAGGTGAAGGTCATTTATTTGAAGAACAGTTATAGCGCTCTGTCCCTGGTACCTACTGTCCAAATACATTGCTCTAGGCCTCTTGGTTATTTAGAAGATGTTTAAAGGTAATACACACATTTGTCCCTTGTGACCTTTAAAGTTGGTCAAATTCATTTATTTGAGTAAATTGTTTAGCACTTCATGCCAGGTGCTTACTGGCCAAGTATTATTACTCTGGGCCGCTCGGTTATTCAGAAGCAGGGGTCGACACTAACGGTAGACCGGAGGACCGGGTCCACCAAAATCTTGGACGGTCCACTTAATCTCCAAAGCTGGTAGACCGCCGGTCCACCACATATTACTTGATTAGTGTATATATATTTGAGGATGTTGTTCAGAAATATACTAATAAAGACTTTATTTACTTCGCCAGCCGTAAATCCCATCTAGTTAAAAAATGTATCGTATTTTCGTGTTGTTAACCCGCTAAAAGTTGTCGTTATCATTCTTGGACGAGTGAAGTGCGTGAATCCGCTTGCGGTAAGTCGGAATCTTTTCAGCGTTTGAGTCGCTTGTGATATAGTTTGCCGCTATTATAAGCACTAAAATGACGATGACGTCACGATCACGGTGGTCAACCGGTAAATGAAGATAAACTTAGCCTCACAATTTCGTGTTACGTTTTAATTTCTAGCGTATATCGTTTAGGTGATCGTGTCTGTCGATTAACTTAGTATCTGTACTAGACTAGTACCGTATCGCCTGTGTCGCGATTTTTAAATGGCTTGGTTTACAACCACTGGCAAAAAAAGAGTTAAAAACTTCACCAGAACAAAAACAACACGAAGTTTGTATGGGCAACAAAAAGGATGATATCCTTTCAGGAGTCATGGAAAAATCGTTTACATGGCTCAATAATGATACTGACACAAACTTAATGAAATGTAGGGTATGCTGCACTCAGAAGATGATTCCGAAATGTCCAGGAAGGATTGAATAGAGGTGCAACAAAATACGTAAAGACTACTGTTGGGGCAAATTTGTTTGACATTCTGACTGTATATTGAGATAAAGATCATATAAAAAAGGTATAATACTATAAAAAAGTATATTATTTTATCCTTATTTTTTCATATGATCTTTATCTCAATTTACAGTCAGAATTTCAAACACCTTTGGATGGGAGCTATGTAAAAAAAAATAAACAAGGAGAAAATTGTTTCATGTTTCTGTGTCATTTACTAAAACTTGGTCATAAATGGAAAAAATAAAAAAATAAGGAGAAAAAACAAGTATTTTACAGAAAATTAAAAAACCTTCATTATTTGTTTAAAACCCTCAGATGCCAGGATTTTGCATCTAGCTTTTAAAAAAAATTGGGGGAGGACCCCCATACCCCCCTCTTATTCAGGAGGGGGGGTACCCCCTCCCGAACCCACCCCCCACTCCTCGCTACGCTCGTCGACCGGGGCGCAAAGCGCCCCAGATCTGAGAATATTATTCAGGTCCACCAGAAATTAACCAGGTCCACCAGATTAAGAGAGCAGGTGGACCTGTGGTCCACCACCTATTAAAAGTTAGTGTCAACCCCTGAGAAGTAGTTTAAAGTTTTTTACATATTTAACCTGTGACCTTGAAAGTAGGTCAAAGTCATTTGTGGAAATTTTATAGCACTTTGTCCCAGGTACCTACTGGCAGAACATCATGGCCCTAGGTCCTCCAGTTCTTAAATAGACGTGGTTCAAAGAAAAAGTTGACGGACGGACGACAGACAACACACCATATATATATACCATAAGCTCAATTGGCATTTCGTTCCAGGTGAGCTAAAACTGCATAATTTGCTAACACAACTTTATTTATATTAAGACACAGGTCGTTGCTTTGGAATTAGGCTTGGCCAATCGTCAGTGACTGGTTAGAATTAGCTCTGATGGTTACAGAAACTGTCTCGAGTTCAGAGCTCAGTTTAAGACAATGAACACTTGGTTTGAATTCCAGTCTGGCCCTATTAAGTTTCCCCATCCTATTAATTTAAAGGATTCATATTAAACTATTCCTGTGGTTTGTCAGTTACCTCCCCTCATTATATATTGTAATCATATTTATTTTACCATCATTTGTCAGTAATAATTCAGAACTGCTTTAGTTTTATCAACGTAGGATGATGCATCAATACATACCGTCTTGATTAATTCTTGGTTTGAAATAGTGTCATATATCAAAAAATATTGTAGCTATGAAGTTAAATTATAAGACAATCCAAAGATATTGTAAATTTTACCACATTTATCCCATGTGACCTTGAAATAGGGCCAGCCATTCATTTGAACAAAACGTATAAGCAACTAACTACAGCATTCACAGTTCAAATCTCACTTACCGGTATGTATTTTATAAATCAGAAAAAAACCTCATTTTTTTAATATTTTATTTTTACCCAAAAAGTATGTGTGGAGTACACACAAGTGTTACAATACACTAATATTTACGGGTATGATGGAAATCAGAAGCATTCGACTTTCTGTGTAGATAAATAGACAAAACAAAATACTTTGGGATATACCCTCATTTTATTAATGATGATAATACCAGTAGTAACAATAACATTATATAATACATCTCTTCATGTACCTCCATTAACCCCAGGGTAGTCTTTAACCGATTCACCCCTACAGTCAAATGTAAACCTTACCAAATCAAAGGCTGGGCAAGTCCAGTTTAAATATGTAGGGGTGAATGAGTTAAGGAATGGGGTATACCAGGTAATATCTGTGTGAATCTACAACCTCACCCTGAATGAAATAAATAGCCTAACAACACCTTTTTCCCTGATTTTTTTTAAAAATATGTTGAACAAGGAAAGTCCATTTCACGTCGAGCATACATTTCAGTAATTATATCTAATATGACTATATCTCCAAAAAACTAAGATTATACATAACTGATGATTATAATTTATTTCTGATTTTATTTTATTTTCATGTAATGTTACATTAACTAGTGTTATATATTCATCAGTCAGAACACTTTCTTTTCCAGTATAATAAACTACTACAAATACATTTGAATCAGTAATGTATGAAGCTGACAGTGCTAGTTACGAACCACATAGTAATACACATGTACAATTGTTAGTTATGAACAAAAAGAATAGTATTTCACAGTGTTTTGACCTAATTTGTGCCCATCTTTTATACCAGGTATGTGCCCCTTTGCTTTTCTGGTCTGAGTCACATCCCTTTACCAAAATTTACCAATTTACAAAAGAAAGTGTCTATTACGGCTATTTTTTGTGAACTTTGGAAGGTACTGCAATCATCTTAATTTTTTGGGTGTTACCTTGCACTGTCATTATGTTTTATGTGTATTGGTAGCTCTTATCTTTCCACTGTCATTATTTTTAATGTGTGCTGGTGGCTCTTACCTTGCATTATCATTATTTGTAAAGTATGTTGGTGGGTCTTACCTTGCAGTCATTATTTGTTAAGTATGTTGGTGGACCTTACCTTTCAAAATTATTATTTGTAAAGTGTGTTGCAATCGATGGCCCTTACCTTGCACTGTCATTATTTGTATAGTATGTTGGTGGTTCTTACCTTGCACTGTCACTTACTTCTACTGCTTAACTTAAAAAAGTCAGGCACAATTGTGTGGTATCATCAACATATATATATTTGTATTTTTTTTTTATTTATAATTGTATCAGTGTCTGACTGAAAGGTCATCAAAGTTATATCATTGCAGTATATCCAATTAGCCCTATAGCCAATATCCAGTGAACAGATAATTTGTATTCAGTATTAATAGCAACTGAAATGTTCATGTACAGCACTTTCTGATATTCTAGTATCAGAGTTTCATTATAAAGAATGCATGTCATCACCGACGCCTACTCCATGCACAATAAACCTTCTGACTTCCTTTATACACAGAATCACTTTCATCAGAGATGTTTGGCAAAAGGGGAGATAAATCTTAAGACTGCTTCATCCGAGACCTTAATACAAAGGGGAGATAGCTATAGCCATCCAGTTGTTCTTATAAAGTCTAGGGGAGATAACCCTTTATAATTTATCTGTTCTTACATCAGAGATGGTGTTAATCCCTGTCTCAAATGCTGAAGAAAGAAAGCGATCTACTTTTGATAATTTTGAGGAAAAGTTATATATGTAAAGTTTGTCATTTCAGAAAGAAAACATCCTCTAGAATCTGACTTTCCTCCTCCTCAGCTTCCTCAAAGTCATACAGAGCTTCTGGTTTCTGAGTGGTTATGTACCCACGAGCTGGGCTGTTCTTGTGAACACGTAGTCCCCCTAACTGTCGTTGGCTGTCCTTATTGCTGTGCACACCCCCTGACCAGCCTGGACTGTTCCTGGTACTGCGCACACTCCCTGACCAGGATGGACTCTGCTCCATAGTGTTCAATATCTCTATCACAGATAAAGTCTTGTTCCTGTAAATAACAATAGAAGAACATGTAGTAGATATTTTGATCACAGTTACCGTAATGAAGCAGTATTCACCTAGTCAAATGTTTGCTCTTCATTGGTAGTATCACATTCGCCCAGTGTAAATATCACCCTTTACATGTAATTATTATAATGTAGCAGGCTATGAACTAATAGATGTCATGATAGATTCCCCCCCCCCCCCCCCCCCATTATGCAGGCTAGTAAATCCTTAAGTTAGAGTGTAAATATCACCCTTTACATGTAATTATTATAATGTAGCAGGCTATGAACTAATAGATGTCATGATATATTTCCCCCCATTATGCAAGGCAGTAAATGCTTAAGTTAAAGTGCTGCAAAAAGTTCCCAGTATACAGTGAAGTCTTGTTGCTTCAATAATAATACACTGTTGTAGATGTCATCTATCACATATATTCTTGTTCCTAGATATAATTATAATTAGCAGATATTTCTATCACAATTTAAGTATTGTTCATTCTAAATTCTAGATACCCCGATCACATATCACCCTCTTCACTTGTCTAAGTATTCAAACTTTGTTTGCAAGGGGTATGATAATTGAATCACAAATCCCTTCGTCATGCACATCTACAAATGATGAACCTTCACTGTGCCAAGTGACAAAAACATCCCACAAACAGGTAAGGAGGAGTTCTGGCTACAAGGTTTCTGGAGCAGAAATTTAAAGTTTCAAAGGACATAACCCAAAGAAAAATATTCCAGGCGCCAAATTAATCTCTTTCTTCAGGCACATCTACATACATGTACTACTCCCATAACATGAGAGGCTGCTAGTCGGCCTTTTTTCTATCGGATATGATTTTGCCGACTGTCAAAAGTTTTTCGCCGTGTAAAACCTCTTACGTTGTTGGAGTAATCTACATATTATAATGTGCTTTTGCTATATCAAGTTACAAAAAGTCCAACAAACAGTTTACGAGGAGTTGCGCTTCCAATTCAAGGTTTATGCGGGGGATGTAATAAAGAGTAAATGTCAAAATGAAAAAAAAACAGCTTTACAAGTTTAAGAAAAATGGTAGCTATAAATGTGAAATACCAACCCTGCTGATGGTTTGCTGACTGGTGTTTGATTTGAGCGCCCTCTGTTGGACTGCAAGGGCAGATTATTCTGATATCCCTGTCGACCAGGGCTACACCTGTTATCAGGACTGTGAGGTAAGCTGTCTCGCTGGCCTAGTAAGAGGTCCTCTACAGACTCGTTATGTCTCTGGGTACTGTACATCAAACACATGTCAATCAATATCTCATGTCTTAACAATAAAGTTTAACAAGAGGCCCAAGGGCCTTAGCGGTCACCTGAGTTATATCATAGATACTGGTAGCTTTATTTTATTGTTAAGATGTGATGTGGAAATCTGCATGTAAACTAAGTGAAATACAATACTTGTCATCAATGGATAAGAATTTGAAAATATTGGTAAATGTTCCCTTTGGGGCCCCGCCCTAGCCCCTGGGGATGGGGCAGGAATCCTAATTTTACAAAGTAAAACTCTCATTTACCCAAGATGATTCTGACTAAGTTTGAGCAATTTTCTGCTGAAAATGGATAAAATATATACCGAAAAGTGTTATTTCCCTATATAAACTATA